TTCAGGCTCCCTGGGTTTGGATGGTCCATGCGTGCTGTTGGATTCCATCTGTGATGTTGTGCCATTAACTACCCTGTTGTGACAAGAAAGAGACTGCAGGCTTTGGTTCTTGGTGATAGATTGCTTGGTCAGGTTAATTGTCTACAAACAAGCCTAGGCACCAGCATCCATGACTACCCAGTCCTTGTGTTAGCTGGGTCATTTGCAGGCGTGGTGCAGAATGAGCATAATCTCTAAGCCCAGTGCAAAGTACTAAGGGTTCCCAGGTCTCTTTTTTTTTACACCAATCAAAACAACTTTTATGTTTACAGAAGAGGTCAAAAGGGATAAAGCAGTTAACTCATTTAGGGACATAGGCACAAAAGCCCATAGCAGCACACTTCAACCTCCCTGGACTCTGCATTGCTGAACTCAGAGTGGATGTTCTTAAACAACAAGAATTTAAGAACCAATTTCAACAGCAGATTGTAGAACAAGAAATCACTCACAGCCTGGATTGTGTTAAGTATGGTCTCAGTAGACACTCTGGATTCATATCCCATGACTCGATCTGGCTTTTTTTAACCCCTGTATCCCTCAGTGAGTTAACAGCTTTGTTTATTTCTTTTGATCTCTTCAACCCGCCTTCCTCTCTCTTTTTACATGCTTTGGTTCAGTGGGAATTGTGTGCCATTCTGTGCCATGGCTAAAAATCTCTTGACTCACCCAGAAGTGGCACTACTGTATCTTTTGCTTGCTCCTTGAAGCTATCAGAAATAGGATACTGGGCTAGCTGGACCTTTGCTCTGACCCAGCTCTTACTTTCCTATGGTCAGTCTGTGGTGCAGATTCTCACTTTGTCTGTCTGGTTATTGGCTCTCTCTCTCTCTCCCTGCTTTGTGCACATTCTTCCTGGAGCCTTAGTGGATGTCAGTGGCAGGCCTAGTGAAAATTATGCCTGCCTGCCACCATTTGTTGCTGCTGCTCATTGTGGAATAGCAGGCAGTCAGTCCAGCCTAGGGGATTCATTTGTGGGAATTCACTTAAGAAAACTTGTTTTAAATTTAGTATAAGACGTGTAACTGGACCATTAGTTTGGCTCAATACTAGGTCTGTCAGCTTGCCGTCATTTATAGGGTGAAGAGGTGCCTATAAGTCTTCCTGCCCCCCCCCCCCATCCAGCCAAACTTAGTTTTCACTTTGGCATGTGAACAGAATCCAGGCACCGCCCATCTCCTGGGTGGAGGGATTCAAGAAGAAAACAGAGCAAGGACAGAAAGGAATGGAAGAAAGGAGAGGGGAAAAGAAAAGCAGAAAAGACTGAGGAGAAGCTGGGGAGATGGTGGTAGGAGTAAAAAGGAAATTGGGAATTGAAGGCTGAAGATGCATCAGATAATAGAAGAGTAAAAAACCTCTTTTTTTAATTGGAATTTAGTTTTATTTTTCATTTGACCCTGCACTGTAATTTAGTGATAGTTTTGCTGTTTCTATTAGAAAACAGACTTCCTTCAGGTTTCCACATTTTGGATGCAGTAGGGATGATACTACTTGGCCACTATGGTACTTGTCCCCTACTTGTACCATAGATCATCACCCTAAATTTTTTTGTCAGGAAATCTGGAAGGTAAGACTAATGGAGAAAAGAATTCGGTGCGCAGCCCAAGGTATTCTGATGTGTCACAAAATACAGAAACAACTTGGCAACAGCAGTCCACTTCCAACTGGAAACAGTGCTGCCCTCCTGTCTGAGGATGCTTGAACTGTGATTATATGGCACTTTTATATTTCTGTTTATAACTTACTGGGTGTTGTTCAGCTTTCTTAAGATTCTGTAGGTGGGGGGAGGTTAAACTTAATTTTATGCCAAAGAATGAGCATACAATAGTTTTGGGGTTTTTTTAGAAAGAGGCTTGCCAGATCAAGAAAAAATAGGCCTTTTTAAATGCCTATACGCTTTTATGAGGATATAGAGGATTTTTCACATGCACACATAATGCACACTCACACATACATGCGTGTGTGTGTGCATGCATGCACTCGCGCTCTCTCTCTCTCTCTCTCTCTCCTTTTTCTTCTAGCTTGAGGACTATTAAACAGGTAATGCCCATTATTTGAAAAATAAATAAAAATCCTGTAACTTTTGCTTACAACATTTTGGTTCTTTGCAATTTTTTTGGTGGTTTGGGATTCATTTAACATTCAAATAGGTTTGTTTTGTATAGTTAATTTAATTAATACCTTTTTTTTAAAATCAGGTGCTTATCTGTAATTTGGAACAAATGGTATTAAATGCAGCAATATGCTAACCAAGCTCTCAGCAAGAATCTTCGTTCATCTCACTGCAACTGAAAAGTAAAACTTCAGTGTAGGCGCTTGTCACCTTGAATAAAGAATTAAATATTTTTATTTTAAAATGTTTGTAATTAAAAATAGTTTTAGGAGCTGGCCATCTTTGCTAAAATGCTGTGACTTTTTTTCTGTTGTGCATGACTTGCACATTGTAAGAGACCATTACTTAGACTGTACGATCATTAGAATCGGGATCTTTTTTGAGGAAAGGACATGTACTGTGCTTATCACCTTGATCCCTGATTGGGGTCTTTAGATACTACTGCAGAACAGATGATAGTACCAGCCCAGCTTTCAATCGCCTCTAGTGTTTGTAAACACAAGACCAACTTTGAAGAGATGTAAACCTTGATATAGCCAGTGAATCAAAAGGAGTTGTTCTCCTGCTTCACTGGTCCTCAAACTCCTAATTGCATTATGTAGGAATGCCTTGGTGAGATTTAGATTTTGGAGCTATTATATACACTTGGTACAGATGTGGAAATGTATTGCACAGCCCTCCCATAGAGAAATCTCATCAATCTCTTTGGGATATACCAGGGATGGGTGTTGCAGTACTTGATTGGTAAGAGACTGAGGCTGTCTCTTCCACAGGGTGTGGCTCTCTGATGGGATACAGCATTTAAAACTTTCATTAGGGAAATCACCTG